CGATAAGTGGATGGACAGTTAAATACTCAACAAATATTTATTAAAAAATCCGAATTTAAGTGCATTTTTAAAGCAAAATTGTCAGAAGATGCTCTGAAAAATTGATATTCGCAGCTTTTCCAAGTTTTATATGACAGTTTTTAACAGAAAAAAACACACATTTCAATGGACTTTCAGAGACTCAGATACACATGTTCACTATTCTCTGATATTTCATAGAACAAACGTTACTTTACACATAGGAAAATGATCAGTTTTACAGTTTCAATGTACAGAATAAGCTTAAAATACTCTCCAAAGGACCCATTCTCTCCTACTAAAAACCCATTTCACAAACATAGGATACTGTATTAATAATGAATGTTCCCTCCGCAGCTGGGTGGGCTACGAGCACGCCTCCTACCAGGGGCAGCAGTTTGTCCTGGAGAGAGGAGAGTACCCTCAGTGCGACGCCTTCGGAGGCAGCAACGCCTACCACATCGAGAGGATGACCTCCTTCAGACCCATCGCCTGCGCTGTGAGTAATATGCACTCTAGAGGGAACAGAGGAGAAAGCTCGACAATCTCATTCATTACTACTTTTTCTACAGAGAGATTCAGTTCCAAGTGATATTTGAACATATAATAGTAGCAGAAGTGAAAGAAGTAAAATAACAAATGATGAAATACTATCTTTAAATACTACAACACAAATAAAAAGTCAGTCAAATAACAAGTTTCTCACTGAACTAAAGTAGAAGGAACTTAAATGCACTTTACAGCAGTGCAGCTCTGCAGGAATGTACGCAGTGTGTGTGTGTGTTTGTGTGTTTGACCGGAAACTGACAGAGATGCATTGTGTTTCCCCCCCCCCCGTCCCCCCCCTGCAGAACCACAGAGAGTGTCGTATGACTATCTTTGAGCGTGAGAACTTCCTGGGGCGTAAGGGCGAGCTGAGCGACGACTACCCCTCCCTGCAGGCCATGGGCTGGTGCAACAACGAGGTGGGGTCCCTGAAGACCCAGTCTGGAGCGTGAGTCACTCTCTTCTACACATATATACAGTTACTACGCACATATATACATGTTTTATCCAAGTTCCTGTCATTACTTTCAACATTTCACTATTTCTTGTCCACATATTTATACTTTCTATCTCCATTTGTCTATTTACCTTCCACAATTTCCTAACAGAATTAGTCAATTTCCTATCATAATTTATATATTATCTATCCATATTTTACAATTTTTACATAAAAACATACATTTACATATTTTTCTCTCCATCCCCTCCATGTTGTTGGCGCTCTATATTGTTCATGTCCACATTTTAGTATCTCCAAACCACATATCATTTTTTCTGCAGTTTAAAAATACCGCTGGTTTCACAACACCCCTCTCTTGCACCATTTAACCCTCCTCCCTCTCTCTCTCCCTCTCTCTCAGCTTCGTGTGCTACCAGTACCCCGGTTACCGTGGATACCAGTACATCATGGAGTGTGACCGTCACTGTGGAGATTTCAAGCACTTCAGAGAGTTCGGATCCCACTGCCAGACCCCCCAGATCCAGTCCATCCGCCGCATCCAGCAGTAACCTCACCACCATGTGACCACTGACCTCTAACCCCTGCTAATCAATAAAATGTATTTCTTAAAACCACAAACACTGCCCCCTCTGAGTCTGCTTTCTTTCTCATATGTTCACCTCATACTACTGTATACATTCAACATACTGTATTCAGAAGAGGGAGGAGTACTTAGGTCTTGTACTTGAGTAAAAGTTGAAAAGTAGAAGTACTCAGATCTTGTACTCGAGTAAAAGTAGATGTATTTAGGTCTTGTACTTGAGTCAAAGTAGAAGTATTCAGATCTTGTACTTGAGTCAAAGTAGAAGTATTCAGGTCTTGTACTTGAGTAAAAGTAGAAGTATTCAGGTCTTGTACTTGAGTCAAAGTAGAAGTATTCAGATCTTGTACTTGAGTAAAAGTAGAAGTATTCAGGTCTTGTACTTGAGTCAAAGTAGAAGTATTCAGTTCTTGTACTTGAGTAAAAGTTGAAAAGTAGAAGAACACAGATTTTGTACTTGAGTAAAAGTTGAAAAGTAGAAGTACACAGATCCTGTACTTGAGTAAAAGTAGAAGTACTCAGATCTTGTACTTCAGTAAAAGTAGAAGTACTCAGATCTTGTACTTGAGTAAAAGTAGAAGTATTCAGATCTTGTAATTGGGTAAAAGTAGAAGTATTCAGGTCTTGTACTTGAGTCAAAGTAGAAGTACTCAGATCTTGTAATTGGGTAAAAGTAGAAGTATTCAGGTCTTGTACTTGAGTCAAAGTAGAAGTATTCAGATCTTGTACTTGAGTAAAAGTAGAAGTATTCAGTTCTTGTACTTGAGTAAAAGTTGAAAAGTAGAAGAACACAGATTTTGTACTTGAGTAAAAGTTGAAAAGTAGAAGTACACAGATCCTGTACTTGAGTTAAAGTAGAAGTACACAGATCCTGTACTTGAGTAAAAGTAGAAGTACTCAGATCTTGTACTTGAGTAAAAGTAGAAGTACTCAGATATTGTACTTGAGTAAAAGTAGAAGTACTCAGATCTTGTACTTGAGTAAAAGTAGAAGTACTCAGATCTTGTACTTGAGTAAAAGTAGAAGTACTCAGATCTTGTACTTGAGTAAAAGTAAAAGTACTCAGATCTTGTACTTGAGTAAAAGGAGAAGTACTCAGATCTTGTACTTGAGTAAAAGTAGAAGTACTCAGATCTTGTACTTGAGTAAAAGTAGAAGTACTCAGATCTTGTACTTGAGTAAAAGTAGAAGTACTCAGATCTTGTACTTCAGTAAAAGGAGAAGTACTCAGATATTGTACTTGAGTAAAAGTAGAAGTACTCAGATCGTGTACTTGAGTAAAAGTAGAAGTACTCAGATCTTGTACTTGAGTAAAAGGAGAAGTACTCAGATCTTGTACTTGAGTAAAAGGAGAAGTACTCAGATATTGTACTTGAGTAAAAGTAGAAGTACTCAGATCGTGTACTTGAGTAAAAGTAGAAGTACCAGAGTGTAGGAATACTCTGTTACAGTAAAAGCACTGCATTCAAAATGTTCCTCAAGTGAAAGTAGAAAAGTATTCTCATCAAAATATAGTGAAAGTAGCGACAGTAAAAGTAGTCATTGTGCAGATTGGTCCATTTCAGAATAATATATATGATATGTTTTATAATGATTGATCATGAAAGTGTTCTCAAAGCTGGTAAAGGTGCAGCTAGTTTGAAGTACTTTGTATACTGCAGGGTAGCTTGTGGATGTATTAAAGTCTTGGTCATTGTCTCTGAGCTCCTGTCACTAACAGAGGATGGATGTGGTTCAGTAAAACCATCCGATTACAGAGCTGCTCGAGCTAAACCGGAAGAGCGTTAGAACAGGAAGTGGGGAAAGGCTCGGGTTGCATGAGGTTTCACATCACAACATTTAATCCAGAATCACACGATGGTCTTTACCTGCTGTCAGCCTTTAAAAAGTTCCTAGGTTAGATTAAATTCACTTTATTGAATCAATCTGCACATTTTACCTTTGGTACTTTAACTATATTTTGGTGATAATATTTGTATACTTTTACTTGAGTAACATCTTGAATGCAGGACTTTTACTGTAACAGAGTAGTCTTACACTCTGGTACTTCTACTTTTACTCAAGTACAAGATCTGAGTACTTCTACTTTTACTCAAGTACAAGACCTGAGTACTTTTACTTTTACTCAAGTACAAGATCTGAGTTCTTCTACTTTTACTCAAGTACAAGATCTGAGTACTTCTACTTTTACTCAAGTACAAGATCTGAGTTCTTCTACTTTTACTCAAGTACAAGATCTGAGTACTTTTACTTTTACTCAAGTACAAGATCTGAGTACTTTTACTTTTACTCAAGTACAAGATCTGAGTTCTTCTACTTTTACTCAAGTACAAGATCTGAGTACTTCTTCCAGCATTACCAGTGCTTTCCAGGAAACGATGCTATGTTTCCACCAAAACTCACAGAAAACAATTTACAGAGCTGTTGTCGGGGAAATATGTGGGCTATTTCTGGTAAGCCAGTCGTAAATAACAATGGTCTGAATGTGAAAAAGGGGAAGTCTCCAACTATGATATTAAATCTCTAAAGCTATTCGAAGAGAATGAGGTTCCAACTCCTCAAATATGCAGATGTAATGCTTTCTCTGCTTCATAACATGATAAACTGATGGATATAAACACATTATATAATATATAATATGTAATTGAGATTAAATGATTGTTAACTGAAGTGCTTTTCATGCAAACGTTGCCAAAACTCAGTTTCAACCAGCCGAATATGCACATGTTATGCTTTTCTCTGATTCATGATTTCATTAAACTAGATTTATTTTGGATTATAAAACATATTAAGTACTTTTTCATGCAGATCTGTTAGAAAAAAATATGTTTCAACTCCAGCATTACCAGTGCTGACCAGGAAACGGTGCTATGTTTCCACCAAAACTCCTAGAAAACAATTCACCTATCTGTTAAATTAATTATCAGAGGATTTTTGAAACTGTTATGTGAAAAACAACGCTTTAAATACTGTCTAGGGATTATAAAAGGGATGATATTGAGAGGCTGTAGCTTTCACTTTCATAACCAAATTAATGTTTTCTGGGAAATATGTGGGCTATTTCTGCAAGGTCGTAAATGGAAAGATAGATGGATTCTTTATTTATCCATATTTGGGAAAATCTTTCTTTACAGCAGCAATATAATCGGGCATTAACATATCAAAAAGATTGAATAATGTAATAATATCATATAAAATAAACAGCAAATATATACATGAATGAGTAAAAAGAGGAAGTCTCCAGCTATGATAATAAATATATATTAATGCATGCTTTCATTTCTGCTGAATATACACTAATATATAGTGTTTGTGACATATTTATATGTACATATAAATTAAGTCCCTGTGGTCCGCTCCGGGTTTTACGAGCCTCTCCCCGCCGCAGTGGGAGGAAGTTGGACCACAAAGCAAGCAGTGCCTCTGTGCAGAAAAACACTGAAAAATACACCGAAGAAGGGGGCACTTCAGCTGAAAACATGTGCCATATTGGAGCTGGGACGCGAACAGCCTAACAGAAACACAGTGGATCTAGTATCAGTTGACAGAAGCTCCGGGAGAGACACCGGGCGGACGCTCTCTACTCAGCCGGAGATTGAGCTCTCTAAAGCGGATAGTCTCACAGGCAGGAGTCGGTGGGGACGTTCGGCTCCTTGTGCGATTTTGTGGTTGATTTACGAGAAACACACCACCGGCACCGTGTTGTGTTAGTTATTGTCGGACTTGTTACCACAACACATGGTGGTTAAATGTGTTGTCTTGGCATTTAAAAGCAGTTTACGCCGAAAAAGTGTACCACCCGCCGGATCTCCATCTCCCGGCGCTCCCTCCCCCTCCTCCGCCATCAGCGTCACCAGCAGCTCGCTTTGGGTCTCCAGGAGAGGAGGGTCCCCCGCTAACAGTCGGGGTAACTCAACGGACAAACTATGGATTATATTGTGCGATTTTCTCATTGTTATTAGGCCTTTTTTGGGACTATTTGTGTCATTTTTTCATCTGTTTGCTGCAAGACTTCCCCTAACAGGAGCTCAGCCGTTGGCTTATTAGCTTGTTAGCAACTGATGCTAACGTTTGGTAGCTCAATACCACGATATCCCTGCTGGCGGTTAGCACTTTGCTAACTAGCACTAGCACCCAAAATATCGATATTAGCCCAGCAGGCTAAAACAAGTTAGCTTCGTGGATTTGGCTTCTGATTAGTGGATTGTTTTCCCTTTCTGGAAGGCAAGAGTGTTTACGTTTTCAGGGGGGAAAGCCCTGTAACCCATGGAGAACAGTTGTTTTTGGACTGACTGTACTGGGGTATTTTATATTTTATGTATAAATAGCTAACGTTCGCTGGGTAAAAATCACCCGATCAGTTAGCCCACTGTTAGCGTTTTGCTAACTAGCACCTTGGCTAACTAAACTGAGCACCACAAATATCGATATTAGCCCAGCAGGGTAAAACAAGTTAGCTTCGTGGATTTGTGATTAGTTGATTACATCCGTTTAGCTTGTCTTAATCCTCCTTAAAGTGTTTAATGACGTCTTTTCGGGCGACATTTTTGTGTGTGATTGATTTAAAGGAAGACAGGAAGCCAGGCAGGCAGCAACATAAACAACATATTTTTGTGCAAATATTTGCATTTTTTTTTTAACCAGCTGAGATATTAAGGACAAAGTAACAGCCTTGACAATTCCACCCTCCCTCTTTTATTCCTTCCATTACTGAGAACTACACGTGTCGCTGTTTTATTACTGCTTTTCTGGAGACACACACAGAAGAAGCCAGTCACATTTCCACTCTGCAGCCAAAATTAGATTTTTTTTCCTTTTTCTCGACAGCAGAGTGTTTACGTTTTCAGGGGAAAAGAAGCCCTGAAACCCATGCCTCACTGGAGACAAACCAGTCGTTTTTGGACTGATTTCCAGGAGGAAAGTCCCCAGAGACCTGTAGGATTTGACAGCTGTCTCCACATCCAGCATCTGGTGCATCTGACATTACTATAAAGCGAGCAAGGGGACAGATCTGTGCATTATTTTCTCGTGAGAAACCTGCATTTTTCTGCACTAAATGGGATTACAAAGACGCTGATCTCGCGGCCCTGCTGACTGTATATATTTCTCGAGGAGTCACCCAATGTCTCCCCTCCTGAATTTCCTTTTTTCTGCCACAATGATGGTAGTTTGAGGCGGACAGACAACGACACCATTGCAGCGGATGGTCACTCTGGCCCTGTCACGCACCTTGGCGCTTGATGTTGCTCATATCTGGAGGAGGACATTGTTTTTTTAATCCCATAATATAATAAAACCATCCCCAGCCCGGTTATTTTATTGATTTGGTCGTCCCAGGGTCGAAAGATGGCGGACCTCGAAGCAGTTCTCGCTGATGTCAGTTATTTGATGGCGATGGAGAAGAGCAAATCTACTCCTGCGGCCCGAGCGAGCAAGAAAATCATCCTGCCTGAGCCCAGGTAAGCACATCTCCTCAGAGCTTATTGTGTTGTTGTGCTGTGTGTGTGTGTGTGTAATGGATGCATGTTATGTGCATGCTATGCAGCCTTATAGGGAGGTGGAGGCGTGCTTCCTCTCAAACCTGTGACTTACTATAGATGCTAAATGTGACTGTGGAGCTTTTGTCAGGTTTTTGCAGCTCCTTGGCTTCATGATGTCACCAAAACTACTTCACCTGCATGCTTATTTACCCCATCAACACACCAATAAGTTCATCTAGTGTTAGCCTTAACAACAGCAGATTGTGGTGCAGAATATGTAATCACATTGCCATTTCCTTTCATCATACACGCCTTACTGATGTCCTATATTTGCTGTCTGTTGCAAAATGTTCTGCCAAACAGTCTCCATTTGCTCCCAAGCAATCAGTCTGATCCTGGATATGTTTTATGTATCATGTGCAACACATTTATTGAGGCTGACATGCAGCTGCACCATCAATATGTGCAGCTCTGGAGCCGAACCCCCTGTTTAGCAAGAGCATGACTAGGCCATTAGACCAGACTACAGCTCAAATCTGATTTAAATAATACACTCCCCCCCTCTAACATCTACACATAATTGCACATCCTTTTGTCCCTGCTGCTGCAGCTCTTGGGGCCTGGATGAGTCTCTTCAGCTTTTAGGCGTGCAGCTTGATTGAAGAGGATGTGGTGAACATTTGGTTATTGAGATAGCTGCTTTCCATACAGGGTTTGTGACTCTGACGGAGCCATTTGCGTTCAAGTCAAATGATCACCGTTGTGTTCGCAGCAGCATCACCGCTGTCAGATTTGAGTTTTAAAATTCATCACCTCGTACTTCACATTTGTTAATGGGCAGCTGAGAACTGTTATTGACACACCCACACATGTGTAAAGCGAGTGTCTCTACATTTCAAAGTGTTGATGTGGGTTCAACGAGCATTATGTTTACACCAGGAGTGATTTATGGAGGGAGGAGGGCACTGACTGACTGACTGGCTTGTCTTGGCAGATCAGCAGAAGGCACTGATCCAGACACTGCGTTACACACACTAATGAATATACAGCATCTTGTCCATCAGCAAATGATTACATTAAAGGATTTTCTGCAATAGCAAATTCATTCTGGTATCCTCAATCGATTTAGTTTCATTTGAAGAATGTGTATGAAGGCATTCACCACTTTATTTATCCATTAATCAATCGCAAGAAGCACAAAAGGCCCTGCCCTCTTCACTGGTTCCAGAAAACAGTTTCAACCCAGTGCACGAGCTAAAAGGCTGCCAGGGTTCATCAAAATGTCAATATTAGTTAACATGAGTTAACATTAGCCTCCTCTCTATACAAAGTGATCATTTATTAGCAGATAACAAGTCAAACATGCCTCAATCACAACCCATTTGCTGTCAGATCATTCATCACTGCATGTTCAATTCCGCTACCATTAGCTTTACGCTACTGCTAACCATTTTTCAACGTTGGCACATGTGTGTGTTTCCTTCAGGCGGTTTCACTTTGTGTCAGTGTGGTTTTTAAAATGAACTTTCAGCAACGTGAAGCTTGCTTTAGACCGGCAGACCCATTAGAGCAGGGGTGTCAAACTCATTTTCATCTCGGGCCACATTCGCATTAAGGTTGCACTCAAAGGGCCGGTTGTAACTTTAAGACTATATAAAAATACATATATAAATATTTAATATATATAAAATAATGTATTATATGACATGATTGCCTCTGCATTGGATTATTATCGGATAGGGTAATAACTTCATAATTAACTACGTCTGAAAGCAGAAGTCTAGGGCAAATAATTACAAGTCTCTTCAGGGAGAATGTCAAAAAATGATTTGAAAAGAAATGCAAAATAAAGTGACATTTTGAAAAAAAGTAACATTTTGAAAAAAAAGTCAAATCTGAGAAAATGGTAAATTCTGAAAGAAAATTCATATTTAGAAGAAAAAAAGTCAAATTCTGAGAAAAAAAGTCTAATTTGAGATGCATTGTGCTTCTGTAAATCGCCATGTAACCGTATAACAAACATATTATATTCTTTGTAAGCTCTTGTGGGGCCACATAAAATGAAGTCGCGGGCCGGATTTGGCCCCCGGGCCTTGAGTTTGACACCCCTGCATTAGAGCGATGTTTGAGTCACTTTGAATATTTGTCTAATTACGACTCGAGCATTAATGCAGTCACGTTCCTGAGTGCTTTATTAAATATGGCAACTGCTCCGCCTTCATTATAGAGACACGGTAACTCTGACAGTTTGTACAAAGAAGCCAATTTAACGCCAAGACCCTAATGTAGTCGGATATTTTTCAGCTGACTAGTGACAGACTGAGTTTAAAGCATATCGCTGGTGTTTGTTTGAGCTAATTTACTCTTAAGTAGGACTAGCATGGCCACAGGTGGTAGATCTTTAAAGGAATAACCCACTAAAACATCTAAATTACTTTGCATGTCTGAACATTTGCTTTAAATTATTTTGAACTTGCTCCCTCACAACTGCATTCACTTGACACATGTAAAGAGCTAACATGCTAATGCCAAACAACGCCACATATTCAGCCTTTTTCCTGTATAATATGCTGTATAAAGTTCCTATCTAAATGAGACGTTTTTTTTAATACTTGATTAATTCTTTAATTACATTTAAATTAAAAAAATGCTGCTTTCAGCCTCAAATATTTAGACTTCCTGCTTTTCTTTGAGTTATATCATATTAAAGTATAGAGAAAAAAAAAAATATATATATATATATATAGGTTTTGGACTTAAAGAGCAAGACATGTAAAGACTGTGTTAGCTTTAAGCAAAACAAACACCCTCTGTGCTGTTACTTCAGGATGTACCTGTGACATTTGATTGTTTGTATCTCAAATAACTCCAAGATAAGCCGGTTTGAAGCCGGTCGTAGTTTGTCGTGTCGTTTTTATTCGGCTTACTTAATCGTTTGTCCGCTGCGTAAACAATTAATAATTAATCAATTAGTGAACAGCTTCTATAACGGACTAGAAGAGCAATAATGTGTGTACCAGACCCTGATGTATTCAGTTCTTTCTTGGACAATACTAAACCTAAAATGGGACCAGTAGTTTTTTACAAATCCTGTTGACCAAAAGAGAATTAACTTCTCCTTGATGAGAACTTTAAAGAGTCCTCTCCTGCTGATGTTCAGGTGTATATCAGTATGTAGTGTCTCTACTTTAAAGAGTCCTCTCCTGCTGATGTTCAGGTGTATATCAGTATGTAGTGTCTCTACTTTAAAGAGTCCTCTCCTGCTGATGTTCAGGTGTATATCAGTATGTAGTGTCTTTACTTTAAAGAGTCCTCTCCTGCTGATGTTCAGGTGTATATCAGTATGTAGTGTCTCTACTTTAAAGAGTTCTCTCCTGCTGATGTTCAGGTGTATATCAGTATGTAGTGTCTCTACTTTAAAGAGTCCTCTCCTGCTGATGTTCAGGTGTATATCAGTATGTAGTGTCTCTACTTTAAAGAGTCCTCTCCTGCTGATGTTCAGGTGTATATCAGTATGTAGTGTCTTTACTTTAAAGAGTCCTCTCCTGCTGATGTTCAGGTGTATATCAGTATGTAGTGTCTCTACTTTAAAGAGTCCTCTCCTGCTGATTTTCAGGTGTATATCAGTATGTAGTGTCTCTACTTTAAAGAGTCCTCTCCTGCTGATGTTCAGGTGTATATCAGTATGTAGTGTCTTTACTTTAAAGAGTCCTCTCCTGCTGATGTTCAGGTGTATATCAGTATGTAGTGTCTCTACTTTAAAGAGTCCTCTCCTGCTGATGTTCAGGTGTATATCAGTATGTAGTGTCTCTACTTTAAAGAGTCCTCTCCTGCTGATGTTCAGGTGTATATCAGTATGTAGTGTCTCTACTTTAAATAGTCTCCATGCTTATATTTGTATTGTATAAAGGACATACTCCACACATATGGAGACAGTTAAGCATGTGTCCAAAATATTTTTTAAATGTTTTTACAGAACAAGGCCATGGAATTTCAGATTGAGAAATATCCTTGTGTACATACCCAAAACCCCACCCGAGGGTTAAAGTGAAACACAGGTGATGTTATTGAGCCGTTGCATGATAGTGTGTCCTTCACACACAGTGTAAAGTTGTTAGTGCTTAGTTAAGGCCGTGTGTCATCATCCTGTGTGACGGTGAAACTGAACGCCTCACTAATTGAGTTCGCTGCTCCTCATTAGACGTTCACTCAAGAATCCGGGTTGCGACACATTGACGCTCGAAAAGATAATCCAAGGGCCGTCAAACACGAGACACTGAGGACGAGCTGAGGATCAAACTAAAGACAACAGCAGGACGTTTGACTGATTAGCACCAGAGAGGGCAAGAGTACACTCATACTTTACTCAAGTAGAAGTACTCGTGTTTAAAAATACTCTGGTGAAAGTAGAAGTACTGACTAAACTGCTTTACTCAAGTCAAAGTAAAGAGGCTTTGAAATGTACTTCAGTAAAAAGTACCCATAACTAGCAGCTGTTTTAAAGAGTACCTGACCTCCCTTTATATTAATAGAACAATAATGTCATTGTTAGCTAATGAATGTTTCCATGCTGAACAACGGCAACATGACAACGTTTTCATTGGTCCCTCTTCTTTAGAGAAGACCAGGAAATGATGGATACACGGATCGTGTTCAAATCAATAGGCACGCAATGACTCTAAATAATAATGATCACGCCACCAAACACACATTCAAACTAAAGGAACCAGCCTGTTTGGGAAATGTGAGAAGTAGAAAGTACAGGTATTTGTGTTCAACATGTAAGAAGTAGAAAGTACAGGTATTTGGGTTCAACATGTAAGAAGTAGAAAGTACAGGTATTTGGGTTCAACATGTAAGAAGTAGAAAGTACAGGTATTTGGGTTCAACATGTAAGAAGTAGAAAGTACAGGTATTTGTGTTCAACATGTAAGAAGTAGAAAGTACAGGTATTTGGGTTCAACATGTAAGAAGTAGAA